TTTATTTCAATTTTACTTTTAATTTGAGTAATATACTTTAATTATTTAATTTATGATTGTTGAAGTGTGTCGACATACACCGTAACATATCAAACTCAAAGGGTTCGAGACCTTTGAGAATTAGGGAGAAATAAGGTTGGTTCAATGCTTTACGATGGAGTTGGGAGGACGAGTATGAGATTTAATTTTGATGGACTATCCGAGACAATTTTTGGTCTCGCGATGCATGATGTTTGTATGATTATTTGGATTATTTGTTATATAAGAAATATTCAATTTACAGGAGAGACTTTGTTAAAATTTTATTAGATGTTTAAAAAAATTATTCATTAAGTAATTTGGAAATTGAGAAACGTCTAATTTAATTATATGGATGTTGATCAATAATTGTTTTCATGTTCTATATAATTTTTATAGACATTTAAGAAAATGATATCCGAACAACAATAGATGTATGTTAGGTTAGTTGATGGGTTGTTAAATGATGAGTTTGTCAATAGGGTTGAATAATTTATTGCATTTGCTTCAAATCATCCAGAATGTATGGACATAATGAAAATAAGGTGTCCTTATAATCATAATAAGTGTCGAAATAGAAATTTTAAGGAGGTTGAAATGGTTAAATAACATTTGCTGCATAAGGGTTTTGTGATAGGATATTATGATTGGATACATCATTGGGAATTTGAGACATACATGACATTTTATAGTTCTAGGCGTGATTTAATTACTAGAAATTATCATGTAGGTGAAGATAGTTCTAGCAAATCCCAAACTCCATATTAAAAATTGATGATGGATACAATTGGTCCATCCTTTGACTTGTTTGGCACGAATGATAAAGTGCCAAATCCCAAGGCTTAGGCCTTTTATGATGTGTTGGATGCATCCCGTAGGAAGATTTGGATCAATTATGATAATCACTCATAATTATCAATTGTTGCTCGATTGCTGGATCTAAAATCAAAGTATCATTTTCTTGAAAAATATTATGACTAATTATATGACCCGATGAAGGAGTTGATGCCTATTGATAATTATATGATAGGTAACTTTTATGAAACAAATGAGCTAGTTAAGGAGATGGGTTTACTAGTGAAAACGATACATTGTTGTGAGAGAGGTTACATGATCTATTAAGGTAAAGATAGTAAATTATAAAAATATAAGTTTTATGGACATCATCGATATCGAAGTATTTATCGAGGATCAAGACAAGAAAAACTTATTAAAATTAAAAAATATATTACTTTTTGCTCATCCCGTAGTTGCAAAGATTGTATCTATCGAATGTCACAGTTGAACATATGATGTGGCATGCCAAGCATGAGGTTGATGATGTAGGAGTAATGCGTCATCCTTCGACTCTATTTCATAGTAAAGTTTCAAGCATATTCATTCTCCCTTTGTTGCTAAAAAAAATGTCAAATTAGGAGTTTGCATTGATAGATTTCAATCATTCGGTCAATTCAAGACCCAATATTCTTCATGATCGATAATTGTTACTTGCAATTTGCCACCATGGATGCATATGAAAGAGAAATATATGTTCCTAACATTAATTGTTTTAGGTTCAACAAAGCCAAAACATAAGTTGGACGTTTACTTGTAGCATTTCATTACCGAGTTGATTCAATTGTGAAAAATGGGTGTGGTGACTTACGATGTCTTTTGTAAGTAGAATTTTGTATTGAAAGCTTCGATTATGTGGACTATCAATGACTTTCCTATATATTCGATGCTCGTTTGATTTGAATATTGCGGAAAAATTAACGTATTCTTACTACATGAAAAATTTTGATGCTTTCTCCTTTCCTAATGGAAGGAAGACCTCGTGGTTTGACAATCATTGAAAGTTTCTTCCTCAAGATCATCCATTTAGAAGAAACAAGAAAGCATTTATGAAAAAAAAATTGTTACATGTAACCCTCCTCCAATCCAATCCGGTGCTAAAATGTTACAACTAATGGAACAATAGGGGTTATTAAAAGTAACAAAAGATGGTGCGGATGATCATAACAACGGAATCTCTCGGATGTGTGGATGGAAAAAATGAAATATTTTTTGAGATTTGCCTTAATGGAGTACAAATCTCATTTGACACAATTTAGATATCATGTCATGTGCATTGAGAAAAATGTGTTCGATAGTATTTTTAACATAGTCATAGATGTGTCGTGTAAGACTAAAGATAATGACAATATTTTTAACACAATTATGAATGTGCCGAGTAAGACTAAAGACAATGCCAACTTTAGAAAAAGACTTGAAAATTTTCTACAATAGGTCGAAATTAGCAAGGGATGATGCCTCTCGAAAGTACATAAAAGTTGCATTTACCCTTTCAAAAAAAACAAAAATTGCGTGAAATGATCAAACAACTAAGGTTTCTCGATGGATATGTCTCCAACCTAGCTAGATGTGTTGATATGAGAAATGAAAAACTATATGGGATGAAAAGTAATGACTACCACGTCTTTATGCGGATGTTAGTTCATATTGCATTTCAAGAGCTTTTTCCTAGAAATGTTTGGCAAGCACTTATTGAGCTGAGTTTATTCTTTAAGCAATTGACTTATAAAGTAATAAAAGAAGAAGATATGATGCATCTTAATGATGAGATACCCATCATTTTATGTAAATTAGAACGTATATTCTTTCTTAGCTTTTTTGAATCAATGGAATATCTTTCAATCCATTTGGTATATGAGGCATCTATTATGGGACTTGTGCAATATCGGTGGATGTATCCATTTGAAAGGTAATGAAATTGAATTTAAATGTTAAATCAAATAAACTTATAATTATCGAACACTAAATTATTTTATATTGTAGGTACCTTCGCAAGCTAAAAAATAATACAAAGAATAAGGCTAAAGTGGAAAGGTCAATATGCAATGCGTATTTGGTTGAAAAAGCATCTTTGTTTTATTCACACTATTTCGAGCCTTGCACGCATATTAGGCATCGGAAAGTGCCACGTTACATTGAGTGTGGTAGAGAAGAGAGCAACCACATTGAAGATGGATGATAGAAGATGAGTACAAAGTTGACCATCAATAAATATTATTGAATTGTGAAGAAATAAAATCTTACATTGAGTAAGATTGTCAAACTTTCATGTTAAAATTATACATATTTAGTTCCTTATCATAACTTTAACCATTGTAATACACACACTAACTCGTATGTTGTTATTTCTCGTTAGTGGATTCATTGTCGAAGTGCGGCAAAACAATCCCGTAATCCCTAAAAATGAGATTGATGCTCTTCTTGAAACCGAGTTTGCCCAGTAGTTTAGTCAATATATGAGTATGCTCATTTAACTTGTGTTTGTTAGAAGGTAGCATTAATTAAATGTTAATTTACCTTTAACGGATTTTATGTCGATTTTCGGACAAAATATGCATAAGCAATTCCATGATAGACCAATTCATAAAAAATTAGCACAAGCACCTTTGCGTATTGTGAGGTTTTATCGGGGTTATATTGTTAACGGATATAGGTTTTGCATAATTGATGAAGGCTTGAAAACGACGAGCTTCAATAGTGGTATGTGCATTAAATAAACTAATTATAGTGCAACCGATAGCTACAACTATGAAATATTAACAAAAATTCTACAATTAGAGTATCTTACCACTCAAGAGAACAGGTATTGTTCAAATACGATTGGTTCAATCCTACACCATAAGGAGTAAGGATTTATCCGTAATACGGATCGGTGGATGTTAACTATAGAAAAAGGTTAGGAAATTACAAACACTTTATCATAACATTACGGTTAACTCGGGTATATAATGTCAAGGACCCCAAATATAGAGCATACCACATCACAAAAAACAAGTTCACTCATTGTTTAGAAATGAGTGGTGTTAAGAAAATTAAAGTGTGTTGCTGAAAATAGAGTGAAGCACGGGCATACCATTTTTGTTGCTTTGGCCATATGGTTTGCCTTTGCTTGTGTGCCTAAGCATTTGTTTGTGAATGTTGGGGTTTTTAGTTGGAGAGAAGGAATATTGTTTAGTCCTAGTATTGAAGTCAATATTTTATCTCTTTACATCTATTTCTTACACCAAGTTAGCTCACGTAAGCTTAAAAGTGTGTTTTGAAGAATTATTTGACATTCTTGAAGGTTTATAAAATCCAAGCCAAGGTGAAGATTTGTCGTGTGTGACTTAAATTTATGGGTAAATGATATATTTAGGCCATTAGTTTTTTTTTTTCCTTTATAGGTATGAAGTATTTAAACCTCCTTATGTCTCCGTTTAGAAAATAGAATGAAAGACGGAGACTTTGTATCGAACCTCCAGGATTTTTGTATTCTCCTCGCTATCAAGCTAATAAAACTTTTCACTCATCTTTGGAGTAGGCAATTTATCGAACCACATAAATCTTGTATGTCGATAATTTGTTTAGCTTTATCTTTTGATTATTTTTTATTATTACTTGTTTTGTTTTCATTGTTCATCATAACAAAACCACATTTTTTATCCCCTCGGCCCCTTTAATCAAATCAGAACCAGAATAGGGAAAATCAGCATGAAGTGCTTTTTACCCATAATGCTACTCGAAAGAATACCAAAGCATAAACATCATCCCATATGTTACCATTTTATTTTGGTCTATGACGTGTGTTTGATTCATTCATTTATCCAAACCAAGGGTAGGTGAGGTCAAGTTGTTGGAAACTTTTCCTATTAAAGTAAATATGTAAACAATCACACTCGTTACAAAAGTATAGTGTGACATCTATATCATTCCATCCGCCATTCAAGCATTAGGGTGATCACTGGTGTCAACAGATATATCAAAAACCTAGCTAGATGACATTACTTAATATATGCCTTCAATAACAATTATGAAGCTACAAGGGTAAATAACATGTTTTATATGGACAAGATACATCAATAGGATAAATTTCGATTTATTGCCATCCAGTCGCAATTTATAGTTTGCTTGCAATCATGCTTTAGGAAAAGTATCAGCATTAACAGCTTTTAACCCCATCCGAAAGAAATAGTAAGAACATAAAGAAATCCTAGAGATATGGGATATAGAGCATATGCTACAAGACATGTCCAAAATGGGAATATGGAGGAGAAGCTGGAGGATAGACCAATTCCACTGAAAATTATCAAAACGACCAGAATTTCAGCTGTGATATCCCATTCCACATCTCGTATATAAACAATTGCCAAGAATGATGTCAAACCCAAAACGTTGTTCATGAATACTCCACAATAAATCTGCACAAAAACTTTATTCTGTCAAATTAGAAAATAAACGTTCATGCACATAAAGCGCGATCTATATCAAAACATTTGGTTGCTTGGACTCCAAGATCTGCACCAGATATAGATAGTCTATTCTTAAAAGAAGAGTGGAAAGAATAGTCTGTATAAAACATATTCAAAGGTGTTTACATCACCACTCATGAGCGAACGAAAGTCTAAAGGAGGTTGCAAGAATATATATATATATATATATATATGTGAATGTACCAATAATCTTGATGTGAATGACATCCGTACGAACTGAATGTGGAGGACTTAACCACATTGTTGTAATAAAAAAATATTCGAAAGAAACTTGAGTTTGAGAGAGATGAACCTGAGAAAGTGTCAAAGACACGGACTTCTCCGTCTTCTCCCTGACAGAAATAATTGATTTATATCCTTGTCTGAAGTTCAAAGCGAAGGGTACCAAAAAATATGACACCAGGAAAGAGGGGACCTTTATAGCTGTGGCAAATTCTTGGAGTGTTTTGGTTAAGGGTTTTGCCAGAAGAACTGCAATAGCAGTTCCTAGAAGGATGAAATAAGTGGCCTTAGTGTAATTCAATTTATCAGAATTCTTGGAATCCTGTTGTTCATCCTCCCATGTCTGCTGTACTTCACTAGTTCCCTAGCAAAATTGCAATTAGTAATTGCTATACTTAAAAACTTTTAGCATTTGGAAATGACCTGAGATTGGATGAGAATATACCGGTAAATTACTATTGAACACTTCTGTCTGATTATGGTTACGATTGTTTTGAACACCATTAGCCTCATCAAGCCATTCTGATATCCCTCGAATAAATTCTTCCTCACTTATCTCATGATCGCCAGAGAAGTCAAACTCTGCCATTACTTTTGACACAAAATGATCTTCAATCAAGCCAGCCACTCCTGCTTCTATTCCAACTAAAAAGCTCTCACTTCTTCACCTGATATTTGACCATTTGTATTCAAATCAATCTTGTGAAACAACCTGAAAACATATAAAGGAAGGATTAATCAATGATGAGTCGTAAGCTCTTAAGTTATAGATCATAGCCTATACAAAAGAGACCACAATATGAGTTAGAAAATTTACTGTCTTATCTTGAATTCCATGGGCCTCCCATAAGGACTGCATAGAGATTGAAGTAGGTTCTTCTTCACATATGATAGAATCAAATATTCAAGCGTTCTATCCTGAATCCATGGCTGGAAAACCTGCACTAACATATTTTCTTAATTAGAAAATCTCATAGCAATCTGTATAGCAGGTGGCATTGCTATATCAGAAGGTTGGCAACCACTGATTCAAGGCCACTATTTCAATTTCTATCAGCTACTTTCTAAAACATACGCTTCTAGTGATTTATCTACTTTGCTTGGTTGATATAATCCGAAATGTATGTGGTACAAGTTTGGATCATATGATCTTGCTGTTGAACTAAATTTTTTACCTGGAAGGTGCAGTAAGTGACTAGCAAAATCACTGTAATAATAAGAGAAATCAGGACTCCTGCTCGTGTTGCTGAAGATGAATTGAAAACTTTCGACAGTTCAAGTATTAAGTATGGGATCATTGACAGAATTATTATTCTTGCAGTATACTTGGTAACAGTATCAGTTTTTATCCCATAACCTGTACATCAGAAAACACTTGAATTTCATTTTATTGAATGAGAAAATATTTTTTTCATTTTTACTCAAGAAGATTGATAGGAAAGACCATTGGAAAGGAATGGCTTTTTGTTTTCCAGGTTTGTGGAAGGAGTCGGTTGAAGATCATAGCTTCCAAAAGCAATGACAGAACCCCAGATTATTGTTAGGCTCATCATTGTTGAGCCTGCAAGAAACCCCATTGACATTGATACTGCTGATCCAACAACATCTTCATGGGCTGAGAGCAAGGTCACTGAAAAAGAACATTACTTTTATCAAGCCGTTTCTGAGTATAAAACATAAATAATTTTTTTCTTTTTGTACCAGAAAACATTCTATGATTAGTCCTATTTCCAGAGATGAACCTCAGATATTTTTCAACAGGGAATAGCAAACAGGAATTCTTAAAAATGATAATATATAACAACATTTGCACCATGTGTTTAGATAAAAAAGAAGTATTAGAGAATAGCTTACCAAGAACCAATGCAATTTGTGGGAATTTAGCAAGCACATAGAACAAACTACCACCAAATATACCGGTTCCGAACATTTGAAAGAAAAGGTTGGATCCACTGGAAATGTATTTGTCTGCGACAGATAGCAAGTACTCATAGACGACCAAGAGGAAGAGGTTTCCCCAAACCTTTGTGGTGCAAGGCATGAAGCCATAAATCGGCTCGCAAGTCATAGTTGTTGCCATACTATTTAGTTTTAAGATTTGGGTTTGGCCGTTTTGATCCAAGCCATTAGATATTAGATTGGCGTATTCATCTCTAATGGAGCGGCTGCTCGCGAAATGGATGGCCAGAAGGAGTAGCAGGACTATCAGTGCTGCTGTGTTCATTTTTATTCTACAGATAAACCCTTTTACAGAAGAACTAATGGAAATCTGTGAGAGAGAAACAAGTAGTCAAAAAGTAATTGTATGGCTTAGTGATTGCCGACTAATGAAACAGTAAAATTATGCAGAGGATTTTGGCGGGAATTATGTTAGTCCTCAACTAACTTCTAACTGACTCAGCTAATTACAGATAACCACATGTAATAGCTATAAATAACCATTCATCTATAAGCATTGATTCTCTGCATAGAAGACTACCTTACTAACTATGCAATCCTCTCCAATTAAAATTGGTTTATAACAATCCCCCAGGACTCAACAAATTCTTGTCCTCTAGGGTTAAAATTTGGAAAATTTGATAGCAAAAGCTTGTAGTCCTCCCACATTTGCATCTGCAAAAGGCAAATTCAACTGTTGTACCAGTACTTGCACAACTGGCTCGTAATGCTTTGGTGCCATTCCTCAGTCCAGATTCAACTCGTATATATCTACCCTTTTGAATGAACTAATGAAGCTGTTTGTATAGGACTTGCTGCTGATATTGGCTGTATCTTTAGCTGTGATAAAGGGAGTACAGTATGGATTTTGAATCCTGCAGGTAGCTGAAGCACGAATGCCATTTCTCTAATCCTTCCTGTCATAAGGATATTGCACTATAACAGCTCTGTGAAATATCGTAGGAGGAGCATTGGTATATTGCTTCTCTAGATTGTGTTTTTCAAGGTCAGGTATAAATGGGACCATCTCCTCATGTCTAGCTCATTAACACCCCGTTCATGAACAGTAAGAGTAAAAACTCCTAGGGATATGTGGTATGGAGCATGTGCAATAATGCTTGTCCAAAATGGGAATTGGGAGAAGAAGCTGTCAGAGACCATTACACTGCAAATAATCAGAACAACCATTAGTCAAAACAAACATGACTTTCAGAGAGATGAACCTGAGAGTGTATCAAACTGACACCCCTTTCTGTCTTCTTTTTCCTGAAATAGTTGTTCTATATCCCCTCCTGAAGTTCAAGGACGTGAGACACTGAGAACTTTAGCTATCGTAAAATCATGAAGAGTTTGTATTTGAACTGTATTCTGCAGTTGCAATTTCTACCAGGATCAGATAGGTGGTCTTAGTGTGGTTCCACCAAGCCGGTTTAGGAGCAATCTTGCAATCCTATTTTTCAGCCACCAAATTCTGCTTCTCTTCTGTAGCTCCCATTGAATTTTAGCATACGCAGAAGGATCCTACTTTGGAAGAATATATACCTTTGAATTACTGTACTAACGTCTAATTGTTTTCAGAACAATGTTGTTCCTAGTTTAGCAATTTTAATATTCATTGAAATGGGAGCAATTATATCTGCTGAGAGGGGAATACCAAATCAGGCTCATAACGACACGTTCTGTGAACCAAATAAGATAACAAACAAGGACTCTAGTATTCAAATAATTTGTTATACCTGCAGATATTAGATAGGATTGGATCATTTAAATATTAAAGTTATACCTGTAGATATTAGATAGGATTGCAATTAGCTTTCAAACTTTCAAACTACAATTCTGTAACCTATATATATGTGTCAATATACAAAGACCAAAGTGTGGAATTCATTTTAGTAAAGACTTCTTCATGTATCGGAGCCTCTCTAAGCTTAACAGCCAAATTGTTAGCTTTTTTTTTTGTTTTGTATCACGTCTTGGATATTCCACCCATAGAGTCATTTTCTTTTTCTCATTCCCCAACCTGCCACTGCCCACGATTTCGGTTAGAATTTGAGAATTTTCTAGATAGTTTAATAAATCTTTTGTAATCTTCAGTTAGCAAAAAGTTTAGTTGTAAAGGGGTGAAGATCTTTATTTTGTGGAATTTGTTTTGAAAAAGCAAAGTGTGTTAGTTTGGTTTGGTATTGACCAAACAGTATATATACACACACAAGAATATGAATGAAAAAAATAGACTTTGTTTTTCTTATCTTTCTTGAATGCTCTTTTTTTGTTTCTCTCTCTGTAATATCAGTTTTCTTCTTTTCTTGCCCAAGATCCGGTATTTTTACATGTTATCGAGCTTTTAAAGATCTTAAAGGTTCAATGAGTGACTACAAGAAAACACCACCAAGGCTTCCTCTCTAAAAGACCAAAAAAAAAAAAAAAAAACTCAAACTTTAAACTCTCACGGCATCCAAGCAACACATAGCTCTTTCACCCCTGAGTTTTCAATGGTGAAAACTATCAAGTTTGGGCTGTCAAGATGAGAGCTTACCCGAGAAGTCTTGGTTTGTGGCATTGGGTTGAAACTAAAAGGCAAATATCGCCTTTGGAAAACAATCCTATCCTCAATCAAATTAGGGCTCATGAAGAAAAAGAAACTAAAGCTTCGAGAACTTTATCTTACATTCCCGCTACTATCTCAAAATCAATTTTCACAAGGATTATGGCTCGTGAAATCCCAAAAGGGGCTTGGGACAAGCTCAAGGAGATGTGTATGGGGAGTGATAGAACTAGGCAAATGCAAATTCTAAACTTGAAGAGGGAATTTGAAGTTTTAAGGATGAAAGATAATGAGTCCATCAAAGAATATGTAGACAAGCTCATGGAAGTTGTTAACAAAATTCGACTTCTTGGTAAGGATCTAACGGACCAAAGGGTTGTAAAGAAAGTTCTTATGAGCTTGCCGGAATGATTTGAGCCCAAGATCTCTTCTCTTGAAGACTCAAAGGATTTAACTAAGATTTTCTTGGTTGAGCTTATTTAAGCTTTTCAAGCTCAAGAACAAAAGAGATCAATGAGATAAAAAGATAGTAGTGAAAAGGCTTTTCTTACAAAGCAAAAAGGAAAAGCTCCTCAAGGTGGAGAGAAGAATCAATTCGGTGAGAACAAAGATAATGAGAGGGCCAAGGATAAAAGTGGTGGCAAAAAGAGATATCCTTCATGTCCTTACTATAAGAGGAAGAGTCATTTAGAGAATTATTGCTGGTTTAGGCCGGGTGTTCAATGTAGATTATGTAAGCAATTTAATCATAGAGAAAAGGTATGCAAGAATAAAAAAGATCACCGAGGGTAGCAAGGATAGCAAGCTCAAATGGTTGAAAATCAATAGCAACGAAACAATTGTTTATAATTACAAGTCATGCAACAAGTAACTATAGGAAACTTGGCTTACTAATAGTGATTCCACGTGACTCCTAAATTGAACAATTTTAGGGAGTTGGATCGATTATGCAAGTCGAAAGTGAAGATTGGGATTGGAGACTTGGTTGATGTCAAAAGCAAGGGACTTGTTGTTATTGAGACTCTAACAAGTATTAAATATATCTCGGATGTATTGTTTATGCTTGAAACTAGTCAAAGTCTATTAAGTGTGGGTCAAATGCAAAAGAAAAATTATACTTTGCATTTTCAAAATAAATCTTGCATCATTGTTGATATTGCTGGTTGTGAGTTGATGATTGTGAAAACGAGAGACAAAAGCTTTCCAATTAAGTGGAAAGAGATTAATTTACCATTGTTGTTGATGAGTCTATGTTGTGGCACAAGAGATTTGGTCGTTTTCATTATGCTACCACTACACCAAAAAAAGCATTGGAGGCGGTTTTTTTCTCTTATAAAGGCGGTTATAATCGCCTTTATAAAGTCTAGGGTGGTTTTATGAACCGCCTCAAGACCATCCGTAATGTCGTTGTCTCTAAGTCTGTAGAGGTGGTTTTTGCAATCGTCAAGGAATTCTAAGATGGTTGTTTGAAGCGGTTGAACTACCTCAAATTGATTTTTTAAGGTGGTTACAACCGCCTCAATAATGCCAATTGTGTCTTTTTTTTTAGTTTTTTGGCATCCAATTTACACGATGGTTGATAATCATCTTTATGTTCCTGAATTTTTTTAAAATTTTAACGCAAAATGTTTGAAGTCATTACAACCGCCTCAAATTTTAGAATTTATAAAGATAGTTGTGTAACCACCTTTAGCATTATAGTTTTATTTCACCTTCAAATTCAATAATTTACTCTTTTTTTTGTCAAAAAATAAATAAATTAAAAGAAAAAAAATTACACCTTGTTGAATGCAAATCAAAATCTTTTTTTCATTGTGTAGCATAACATGGGTAAGAAACTAAAGTAAAATACCCTAATTGTAGTGTAACATGGGCATCGAGCTAATAAGAAGTTAAAATATATTCATCATAAGATGGTAAAATCCGAGATAAACAACATCACAAAACTTCATCAAAGAGGCTGAAACCCAACTCTTCATCGGACTCTTCAACATGCTCTTCCTTCTTCTCGCTTTCCTTAGCAGTAGCTAGGGAACCACCAAAAATAACGAGTAGCAATAGGAGCAAGCAGTTGGCAAATTTGCTAGGATCCTCCATCAAATAGGAACATTAACGAGCCATAGGACCTTTTTTTTCTTACAACATGTGATAATCTTGATAACCGAGCTATGCCATTCGGCTCCATACATAACTTAAGAGAAAGAAAAAAAAAAAAAGGAAATTTCTCGGATTTCCACCTAATCTCTATCTTCCTTTAACCCCGATAAGAGGGTAAAGGTTGAGAAGAAAAATTGAGTGGTACACACTCGGCAAGCCCAAAAGTCATTTCTTCACGAGATGAAAATCTACCAACTCAACATGTATATTCCACAAGGAATGGACATGACTTTTTCTTTCAAAAAATATGAAATAACTCTGGTAAGAGAGTTTCATTAATCTAGCAACAATCCTAATAACACATAAAGAACGAATCAATATATTGTATGTGACGACATTAAGAGAGATACCCTACTCTAACATTTCATTGAAACAAGCTAAAGCATCAATAACTCGATATGCTCGACAAAGACCATCAATTATTGAATAAAAAGTGAAGATATCTAGCTTTAATCCATATTTTAAAAATAGCTATAATAGTTCACGTGCTTTAGGGAACTTTCCATCTTTACAATGTCCACTAATAAGGGTATTGAGAGTAACAAGGTTGGGAGAAATACCTCTATCTTGTATCACTTTGAAAG